TTCTCCACCGCCCACTAAAAAATAGATATGCCTTCTTCTAATACAAGTTTGCCTCATTCACCACCCGCCAAAAAACACGTCATATTTACTTCGAAAAAGTTTGTTGTCACTTATGGCATCTCTAATTTCCCTAGTTGACGTACAGTCAGGCAGTAGTATTATTGAAGAAGAAACTTGCGTCTGATTATGAACAAACATCAAGTTGTTCTTATTTCCGGGAACAAACATTTTTATTCATCAGTAATCTCTAAACGTTGTAATGAATCAAATTTCAAGGATGCAGTCAAAATCAATCTGTAAATAATAAAACTGAATGTCTATCTCGACAGGTGTTTTTGCTATCGCTTACTGAACAAGGAAGATTAATGAACATTGCGAAGATCACAGATAATAGCTCTGTTAGGTCTCTTATGAATGACTCATTAAGGTGAAGCAAAAATCAGTTGAGTCATTGCTAATGAAAGTTGGAGAGCAATCAAACCTTTGAGAACGTTTGGAAGTAGATCTTCAAAATTCATGAGTAGGTGCAAAAAAATTCAACGATTTCCATTCTGTATGAATGCATGTACAGTCAAGTAGATTTTTCGCTTGATACAGTTGTGCTTGCACTGTAGGTGAAATGCGGTGAAATTTGTGCGTAGACAAATAGCGACGCCTATGGCGCCAGTCAATTGCGCGCGCAGAGTGCCGACACTATTGGCGTGGCTAATTATTTACGCGCAAATTTTAGCGCATTTCATCTGTAGTGCAAGCACACTATATTAAGCAGAAAATTTACTCGACTATACTTATGTTCCCCTTAGAAATTTTTGAAGCCATCCAGACCAAACTTGGCACACATACACTTCGGGCGGGGCGGTGTCGTAGGCTACTCCTGTCATTGATCGATATCGGTTTTATCGATTTTTTGCGAAGTTTCACCTCCGAGACTGGAGATTTGTACAGGGGGTAAGTGGGCATGGCGATCATGATAATTCGACAAATCTTGACACTTTTGAGCAGTATCCGTAATCCCCCACTTTGAAAGCCAAACAAAGAGCTATGATTACGATCAGTACCATCTTTGTATTATTTTTCCAGCATATCTAGTCTTGAAGTTTCACCTACAACATCTTACTTAATCACAATCCTCTAGACACAGTTCATTGACGTTTTGAACTATCTCCTTCTTTTTATAGGGACTACTAGTAATGGAACTCTTCGAACTAACTCCATTTCCTGTAATAAAGAGTGCTTTAATTTTTTCCTTACATCATTGCAAATATATCTCTTCTGACAGGATATGTGTTGATGCAGTTTCAGCAAATTATACCCTTTTTTGGCTAATCATAGACGGCGCCATCTTATTTATAGTCGTTCTAAACTCTTAGATAGTATGTGCTCAAACTCTCTCTATTTTTGATGGGGTTTTCTCTATTTCAATTTCAAAAATCACGAGGGATACTCGAGTACCAGCTGTTATGAAATTGCAGAATGTTTGCAGTCTTGTGCTAAGTTCAAAGGATACAACGTTTATGGAATTGCTTTCATTGAGGCTGATGTAATAAAACATCTGTCTATTTATGAACATATTATTCTACAAAACCTAAATTTTTCGTCTGCATTCAATTAAAGAAAAACCATCGAATTTTGTGCGACTGCGTTTCCACATCTAGCAGCAATTTAAGCGGTTGACTTTTAGCCATTCTTAACAATGATCTCGCAAAACAATTCTATTCATTTTATTAATTGCTCCATCACTTTCCTAGAAAATAACAGCCGACTCTTTCGCTGACATTACGAGTCTCGATTTCCGTAAAAGCTCTGTTTACGATTTTCTGGCATTTCAGCACTTGATGCTCATATTCACAGCAATAATAGCTTTTTCGTCCTCCGATTATGCTGATGTGTTGGTGTAAGCTGTGATTTCGTATGAAACATTTGAGAATGTACTCAAAGTGTTCCGTTCATCTATCCATAGTCCTGTTCTCGTTTTATGACCATGAAAATTATCAGAACGAAAAGCTTTTTCTGTAAGGGTTTGACCGAATATCACCTGTCGCGAGCTTTGCTGATTTCGCCCCTGTCCTCAGCAGTATTTTTTAACGACCTAGTTCAGTTGCTCCCTGCATTTTGGAAGATCATATCAAGTATGAGATAAATTACTGGAACGCACTTTAAAGGCACCCCCTTTACACTTGTCATTAGAAGTTCACTGGTTCGACAGTATAATGGTATCGATTCGTTGACCGCACGGACTGCTCAAACGCTGCGGACCACGCGCGGCGCGGCTGTATGTTGCGGGAGCACGATTTGTACAATGGCGACTTTGTACTGGGGCTAGCGCCTTATCTCGCGGCGCGTGCTCCGCAGTGATGTCTATTCCGTGCTGGTTTCGACTATACTTCAACCGTCATCAACTTGAGAAAATTGTTTGACATCGATTCTTAAATTAAAAGATGCAAAAAGTGAGCAAGTTTACTAATAGTTGAAGTTCGTGTGCTATATCATTACGACAGCCTGTGCTTTAGAAAATTGAATTCCACTTTCAAACCCTCATGAGGTTCTTACTATTTATTTATTTATTTATTTATTTATTCATACGCACTTCGGCGTGCTATCAATCCAAAAACTGCTAACACGAAGATACTAAGGAGAGCCGCAATGAAAATGAAGAAGTAAACACAAAACAAACAAACAAAAAAACCACCGAAAATTTTTTCTGACCAGCACATAAAGCTACAACATATGGGTGGGACCAGAGATAAGCTGAAGGGACATACTACCGAGTAGTGTGATTTTTAGACTAAAAATTTCGTATATCCACTTACCCTCACCAGCCAACAGACATGAAAGTGGGCAAACAGTGGGGGCGGGAGCAGAAGCTCGGCAAACGGATACGCCGGCCGCCCCCGCCGACATACCCAGACGGGTACACTGGTAGGGGGCCACCAGCATACCCGCTCACCAAACCTCCGCATCACCCCCACCATCCGGCCACCACCATCCCGGTGGGCAGGAAAGGGAAAGCAGCCCTACGAAGAATAACTAAAGAGTGCCTACACTAACTCATGTATGCCGCCTAGAGCTTACTAGTCCACCCGCAAGAACACACATATAGTAGCCGGGTCTCGACTAAACAAGGTGGTCACGCAGACTTAGCAGGTCTAGTACGGCCTGAGCAGAAGCAGAAAGACATAATAAAGACAATCCAAACGGAAAAAAACAGAGCTAAAAATAACATTGAAGGAATCGGAAAGGAAGGAAGTAAAATGTAGTTGGATGGGTGTAGACATCATCATTTAACGTCGCGTAGCTGAAGTAACTCAAGAACGTCGATCTTGGACAGGGCTTTTTTGAAAGTGGCAGAATTTTTCTGAAGTAGAAGTGCAGGGGGCAAACACTCAATCCATTTAGCTGTTCTGAAAGCAAATGTGCTTAATCTGCGTTGACGACATGAGGTGGGCAGCTTAGGGTAGCGAAAAGCAATGAGAGAGCGCCTTCCATAAACGGGACGAAATGACCAAAAATTAGAAGGCTTCAGGCGAAGTTCGCCTTTGAGTATTTTGAATGCCAAAATCAAATCCATTTGAACTCTTCTATAGTACAAACTTTTCAAGTTGAGCTTTTGCAGACGGGTGCTATACGAAGGGAGGCTTTGCGGATAACTTTCATCCGGAAAGGCACGATAGTATAGCACTCTGGTAAACGTCCTTTGTATGCTTTCAATTTTCTCTATATCTTTAGAGAGATAAGGACACCAAATAGAACTACAATACTCAACCAAGGGTAAAATGAACATTTTATAAAGCTTGATCCAAAGAGACACATCATTACTGTATATATTTCTGAATAGACAGTGCATTACCCTCAAGCTTTTCCTTACAATGGAATCGATATGATTGCTGAAGCTCAGACCTTTTGATATTAGAACGCCGAGGTCACGTACTTCATCAACTATATCAAGATTGAAAAGAAGAACAGGTCTCTCAATCTCTACAAGTCTCAGTACCGTAGTGTTTTGATTCTCGTAGTCTGAGAAAGAATGTTCAGTGTTCAACAGATGTAAATGTCAGGCAGAGCTCGGCACAGGGGCTTATAAGCAAGCTGGATATCCTTTTTTAAAAGGGTTAAAAGGGAAAAGCAAAGGGGTTACCGTTTTTGTGGCGGAAAAAACGTAACGACGACGCAGCAGGTGACGCTCTTTTTTGTCGACATTTTTGTTTTTGAGGGTTTTTTTTACGTTTATGGTCTATGGTCAATTGGGACTTCTAAATTTTGAGAAAGTCAAGGAGGAATTTTTTTTGCTTTCGGAAAGCCAACATGTGCCGAGTCCTAGTATGGGGACCTTCTTTGAACCCACAAATCTTCAAAAACAATGCAATTATGTTTTGTATGTATAACGCAGTCAAATGAGTGATTTACATTTGTGATGTGAAACCTACAATTCTGCCTCGTATCCAAAAAATGTTTCTCAAATGCAAGCTGAAATGCAAATCAGTGAATGATGGAGCAAAAATTTACGGTAATAGCAGAGGGAGGCTGCTAAATGCGAAAGGTCCGCCAGCTTTTTCTTAAATTATTTTGTAACATGGGCTACGATAGGCTGCTTGGCAAAACAAGCAAGACAGGCAAGGCAATTTATGGCTAAGTTCTAAAGCTATCAACTTCATTGACTTGTTTGTTGAAAGCTAGTATTGTCAAAGATCTCTTTTATAGGAAATGTATCATTGTTTATAGAGCTTAGTTATCTCATAGTCACTCAGTAATGAAGTCACTTCGTTGGGAAAAGTACAGCTTTTTTCAGATGGGGTTCAACATCGTTATCTAGCTTGTTGTATAAGAACTCTTTCAAACGATGCCTAATTATCACTTATCTCATATTTTCTTCCTGAGTTCAACATCCTTTTTATTGTCGATGTCCTTGAACATGCTAATCATTTCTATTCACTGTTGTGTCGGCTCAATTGCTCTTGTGTATATATACGTCTGTATAACCAGACAAAATCTCGGCTTTTCAGATGAACAGCTCCTTAATCCTGTTGAGTTTTTTCATCTCTCTGGTACTGAGCGAATCTGTGGACCCGGATGAAAGTCCACCAATGATACATTCCCCATCTGTGATTAGGCCACATCGCTTGCGAACGCACCATCACAAGAGAGAAATCGGTCAAAGCTGTGGCACAGAAATGTAAGTGAAATTCTGGCAATCATAATCTCTGTTCTGTGACATTATTATTATTTTCCTATGTACGTTAGTCAATACAGCTCACAAGAAGGATTGGTTTGTCGAAGTGGCCTTCAAATACGGAATGTTTACCTTCTTGGAGAGCATGAAACGCTCATTCTAAATCTGTTTTCGTTATTTGCGAAGCAATTTTAGACGAGGAGTTATGAGCGTTTGATGAAGCAAAACGCTGAAGGCGTAAATAGGATAAAAAAAGTCGTAACATTTTTCTTAGCACTTAAATGGAACAGTGATAATTATTAGAGCACTTTAAGCAATGCTCGGAAAAAGTAATTTACTCTTCGCTGCCTCATTTGAAAGCTAGGAAATTTTCAGTATTTTTTATCCTACCTGCGCATTTATTAGGTTGATGCAAAAATAATGGGCGTTTTGCGAATTCTCAATTTGACGTGCTATAACTTTTTGAAAGATTCACATTTCCGAATGCGGTAGCGATCATCAGAAGCAGCAAACCTTTTGCAACACAGCGCACATTTATTATACTCACATCACGAACGGGCAGAAAAATATGGGTTGAAAAACAAAAGAGGTTCCGCTAAAACCTTGTTTTCGAAAATTCATAACTCCCTTCAAAGTTTGTTAGTATGAATGATGAGTAGCATATCTTGTAGCATATCCAGTAGTACAAAACACAATAAAAAGAATTCGGACAAAGAAGTTTGCGAGAAAGAAAAAAATTCAAATTTAAAATTTCTCACTTTCTTCATCATTTTTTCAGTGTGCTTTAAAGTCCCGAATATAGAATTTTCTGATTATCTACGTACTGAACAGCTGGATGTTTTTGCAAAAACTGCTAATAGGATGGCCTAGCCATACGCTTATCGAATTGAGCAATCGGCGAATGACTTCTTCAGAAGAAAATTATGGGTCTTAAAATTACCGTAACAGCTACCCATGTTTAGGCGCCGGTATTCAGTCTGGACAACTTCAAAGAGTACAGTTAAGTATGCGTAATGTAGACAATTTCTATTACATACCATAGCCAAATTTTCGAAGAAATCCCATTGATACGCGCTTGAATTCTGGCCGGAAAAGTGAAAGCAATGAAATTCTGAATTTGGATGCGGTTATTTGAAGCTCAGTAACTTTATAAAAGATGAGGTTGAGAGCACGTTTCAAGCACCGTTAGATAGAGCATGGAAACAGCTTCGCGATGGTATACTACACCCATTGTAAAGAAGAAGTATTGATGGAAAAAAGTTGCCCTGAAGAATGGCTTGGAAAATCAGCCATTATTTTTGCACCAACCTAATATTTTCATTTTTTTTTTGCAAATGCTCATAACTCATCGTCCAGAAAGGCTTCCGCAGATAAAGAAGATATATTTCAATTCAACGTTTCATACTTCATAATGGTATAAGTCCATTTCAAAAGGCTTTCGACTAATCATCCTTTTGTTGCTAGAAGGAAGGTGCTTTTGTTGAAATGATGATTTGGCTGAAATGTATGTGTAAATCCGACTCAGTTTATCAAGCGCAAATCTTCAGTTAACCTCCGAAACTCCGAATAGGTAGCATTTTTGGGTAAAAGTTTCAATGCAGTGCAAAATCAGTTGAGTTACCATTTTGAGCTCCATAGCTATGTTGGTGGTACACTTGCGGGGGTACTTTTCGCCCGGTACTTTGTCTTCACCACTCCATTAGAGCACTAAAATAATTATTATACTGATTTTTTTTGGCTTAACCTGTTCTACCTTAGGAAACGCTCCTATTCATTTGTAAGAGGCCATTCAGTAGTAAAGACCAAGTTGTAAGCAGTACTGCCAGATTTCTCTATATATCTTTGCACTGGCATTTCAATTGAAAGCATCTTGTTGTCAAAACGATATCTGCCAATTATATTAGGTTGATGCATAATTCCTGCACCAAAATAGGTGCAGACCGCAATAACTCGGAATAATCCTATACCTCAAGTAGGATTCGATATATCATTAGATAGAGCAAACCTAGCTCTACAAGATGGTGCTCAAATATCTACACCAGCTTTGATCCAAGAGAAGTTTTGAGTCAAAAACTGAAAAAAACCATGCGTCCGAAAACCTTAAGACAGATCTTAAAAAAATTGTAACTTCGTTCAAAAAACTCACACAAATTTTCTTTCTTGCTCACGCGTAGACGTTCCACGTAAGACATTATCTTTGCGGTTGCTGTATTTTTTTCTCAACTAGACGATGAGAAAACGAAGTTTTTCATGTTTTTTCCAAAACAATGCTGAGATGTTCTAGCACTGACAGTTGTATACTATAGGACCTTAGAAGCGTGAATGTCAATTTTTAGCTCTTTAGAGCAGCTGGTTTACGAGAAATATCGGATTTTTAGCAACTAGGCAAGAAAAATTTGAATAAGGAGAGCTAGATTCGTTATTTCTCGTGAATCAGCTGTTCTAGAAGGCTGAAAATGTAAAGTTTTACTGCTAACGGCTTGTACTATACAACTGTTAATACTAGAACATCTCAGCACTAATTTAGCAAAAACATGAAAAACTTCAAAAAACTCCGTTTTTTCATCGCCTTGTTGAGAAAAAAAATACAGCAACCGCATAGATAAATGTCTTACGTGGAACGTCTACGCGTGAGCAAGAAAGAAAATTTGTATAAGCTTTTTGAACGAAGTTACAATTTTTTTAAGATCTGTCTTAAGGTTTTCGGACGCATGGTTTTTTTCAGTTTTTGGCTCAAAACTTCGCGTGGAACAAAACTGGTGTAGATATTTGAGAACTATCTTGTAGAGCTAGGTTTGCGCTATCAAATGATATATCGAATCCTACTTGGGATATAGGATTACTCCGAGTTATTGCGGTGTGTACCTATTTTGGTGCAGGAATTATGCATCAACCTAATAGAGCAACACAGTGCCTTTTGCCTTTTGCCTTTTATGTGGAGAATGCACCAGATTTTATAATGCAAAACTAATGATATTTTTGTAGAATTTTCGTGTTATCCATGCCTTTCAATTTTACAGCAAATAAATTGCGTTTTTAAACATGCCCCTTCAAATATTTGCAGATGCCCTGAAAATACGATTTTTCTATACTATCGATGCGACAGAACAGGGCGGGACAAATGCCATTGGTACCTACGGATGTGGACAATGTAAGCACTGCTTGTTCTCATCAAAAACTCACAGCCTAATCCACTGAACTTGAACAATTTTCAGAGTGATTTTTGGTGTGGTGCTTGTCAAGGCTGCATTTGCATGCTTTGTCTCATTCTTTCGTTGTGTTTGCTGTTGACATGCGGAAGAAAGCTACAACATGAAGAACCACGGTAGCAGAAAAAATGGAGTTGGGTGCGAGCCGCCGCACATCAGAATATGGGCGCTTCAACATTGTCGTCAGCTACCTCATAGCTAATAATCTATCATGCCTGGAAGAAGAATTTGCTCAATCTAAGTGCTCAAAAATGCATCTTATATTTGTACATCTTGGTTGCATAAAGATTTTTTTGTGAGCAGTTGACAGACAATATCAGTAAGACTAAGCTTGTTAGTGCTCGGCAACACTAAACTTGAGAATGTCCAAAATTGTCGAAGCGGTCCGAATGACCTTCGAAAGCGACTATTGCTGGAGCGTGAGTTCCATACGCATGCCAACACTAATTAAGTTTTTTTTCAAAATCTTTAGTAACTTTGTCGGTAATTTTCTTGTCATCGAGTATTGTGTTACAACTTTCGATTTTCCCCAAATCATGATCAAAAACCCACAAAACCATAAAATACTCCATACGATGGGGAATGTAAAACTACCGGTCCCTAAAATGCGAGAAGTCTGCTTATTTTGTAGCTCGGGGGTCTCAAAGCGTTTTGAATTCTTAACACGCTCAAAGTGCAGGGGCATAATACCTGTGCTTGGAAAACTCTTTATTTCTTTTCATATAACCCATCCTGGATCCCTGGACCAGACAGCCTTTGGGTAAGTGTTATCGTCTTTTCGTGTTTTTTTTCCTCCTTGGGTATCAGTCTCCTCAAGGTGGTGTAAGCTATACCAAGCGGACAGTCTTTTGCTCTTTTGCCACCAGCACTTGGTTAGCATCCTGTAGGGAGCTTCAGCTTACAAATATGCAGAGAAGCGAATCACACATGTTTACTTTATTGAGTTATCACGGTAGGACGGTGCCAGTTCAGAACAACTGCGAAACAAGACATCCTAAAAATTTCCTCAAAAAAAGATCTTATCTGTGTAACAGATAAGATCTTTTTTAGGTATGCTGATTTTACTACACGCGAGTTACGAAGCTTTTCAAATGTCCAATCATGTTTTGAAAAGCGTTAAAAAACGCTTGTTACGGCGTACCTGGCATAAGTTGTAAAAAAAGCATTACGGATGAGTGCAAATTCTACATATTGTGAGTGTCTTTAGAAGTCTAATGTAAGACTTTGAGCCTTTTTAATTCCCATTCCTGGTCAAACGGCTGTTGATGTCTCAAAACCTTCTCCAGTTTTCCTACGGTAATTTTCCAATAGTGAAAACAATGAATCGCTCCCTACTGTAAGACTAATTTGAGGCCAGCCCAAAGATCTACATGCTGTTAGGAACCCCTGTATACCAATCCACAGCTCTCAATGAGAATGTATAAACTTCTACAGAGTTCATAAAATCTCTCCACAAACGTCACATGAGTACGCTTTTAGATTTTTAAGTCTCTTTGGCCCTGGCCAGACTTCGCTCAAGAGCGCCCAAAAGCGCGCAAAAGCCCCAAACTTCTCTAACCTCTCCTCACTCTCTCTCATCTCTCCTCACACGAAAAGTTGAAGAGACATCAGAGAAATGGGCGCTTTTGCGCGCTTTTGGGCGCTTTTGAGCGAAGTCTGGCCGGGCCCTCATGTCATCACTAAACCGTTTTTTCATCGTAAATTGTGACATAAAAAAGTGTTTGTTTTTGTTACATGAAACAATTTATTCTTAGGTCTTTTGATCTTTCATAGGCAGTCTCACTGACATAAATTATTCGAATAGTAATCGAAAATTGAATGATATTCGAAAATCGAATAATATTCGAGAACCGAATGATATTCGGAAATCCAATAGAGTATCCAATATGATATACGGTATTCGAACATTACTCGATTCGAAGACTTCCATTTTCGAATAATATTCGTAGTCGAATATTCGAAATTTTCAATTTTCAAGTAATATTCGATAGTCGCATATTCGAGAATTACGATTGTATTCTTCGAAAATTACGATTGTATTCAAGGCACTGCGAGAGAGGGCCTGCACATATTTGTGTCAGAGTAGCCTCTAAATAAATCTGAACGCGTACAAAATTTAGGATGTTTACGAGTTATCCAGATATCTATTGAGCTATCCTAATTTCAATCAGACGGTGTTTAGCCCCAAATGTTTCAAAGGATCTCCCCTTTTTCTGCGGTACTGGTACCGCACGGTTATTGCCGTAATGGGACCAAATTTCTTTTATTCAAGAGAATATTCGCAGAAGAAAGACGGAATTTTGCTGTAGTTCTAGTTACCGTGCCTTGTGCACACTAGTAGTAGGTGTCAACAGTTTTTCAAAATTTTTGATTGGCATACGTGGCAAAATATCCATCACCACTCATAATGACGACAGGAACAGCAAATCTTGCAGTTCTTGAGTGAATTGAAAATGTTCGGCATGGCTCTCAGTTTGAAAAAGAGTACTATTGAGTGCTCATCTAAGCGAGACAACGTCATAATTAATGATTCGCAAAAGACTGATAATGATGAAGGATGTTAGCTAAATGTCAAGTCTCCGCCATGTCTCGCTAAAGATAGCAATGCTTTTTCTGTGACATCCATACGAACGAGAGCCAATACGTTGGGCGCCATATCAACTTACTAGATTTAGAGAATCCAAATCAGCTTCAACCCGCTTGTACTTGCATTTGTATGGTAGTCCACTGCTAAACTATGTACAGGGTGGAGCAAAAGTCTGGGAGCCGATTTTGCAGTATTGTAAATCACGAAGCTACTGATGCTTTTGATTCCAAATTCCACATAATGCTGCGCATCCTATACAAGCCACACCTTACACAGGTGAAATTGTTTGCCCTAAGTATCTCTAAGAAATGGTTTTATTGACACTTGATGACTAGCTGTTTTTTTTACGTCTGCCATGTGGACGAACCGTTTTCGGGCATTTTCACAGCTGGCTGCATGTAAGTACGCATGCATCTGTGTGTGAGATACAAAAATGCAAGTGGGTGGGGCGGCCCTGCCCACTTTTGGCAAGCCCCGCTTACTTTTCAAATTGCCGGAATTTGTTCAAAATTCACGAGTTCATGCGAACTCCAGCATTTTTGAAAAGTGGACGAGGTTTTTGCCACTGAGGGAGTGAGGCCGGCATAACGAGGGGCGGGGTTAAAATTAAAGCTGTTTCAAGATTCTTCAGTAGCTACAAGCTTTTCTATGCGATTTGAGAACGAAAAAAGTTTTTTGTAGAGGGCAACAGAGTGGGAGAAGTTTGCCAAAAAGGAGCGGAGTCAACATGAAATAACTCCCAGGTCCGGCCATCGATGAATCTTGGCATGACTGTAAAATCTTGAATCAGCTGATGTAGCGTAGGCCAAGAATGGAAGATTTATCGGCTTACGTACGTTTCGGCGTCTCCGCCTTTTCAGAGCCTGGAAACGTCGAAGATATTCACAATCTATCCTAACGCTTCGTTTTTACCACAGGTACAACACAACAGGCAACAGAGCCAAAACAAACGAGAAAACGCTAGTAGGGTTAGCGCTCACCTTGTAGCCTTGCGGATGGGAGGAAGCGACCACCGAGCAAAGCTGCGCCGCTACAGATGAGTTACTGATATGTTAATCACTCCCCCGCGCCTGACCCAACCGCGACTCGTAGATCAAAATCCACAAAGGGTCGGGTGCCAGTTCGTTTGTGATGGCAATGCATTCTTCTTTTCTATTCATTTTTTGATTTCGCGAGCAGATCCACAACGCCTCAAGTGTCTTGGGTGCAATAGTTTGGGGATCGTGCGCTAAGATGGTGACCGCCGTATCAAATGTGGTATTTTCATGAGAGAGCCTGTGGTACATATTACGGTTGTACGGTTTCAGTATAGGACAAGTAATGACGTTGTTAGACGAGTATCTCAAGTGCTCCATATTTCGTTGGTCGGGGCAGTACCACAGGCAAATTAGGGGTTTAGCCATGGGGCAAAGGTTGGCACCTACGGTCACTATAGCCTTCATGTCTAAGGTAGAAAACCCCATTCTCCTGCGCAATCTTTTTTTATACAGTCGCTACAATGACGATTGCTGCAACGTGTGTGCTACACAGCATGAACTTGTCACGTGTTTTGACATCCTTAACGCTCAATCGCCTGATATCAAGTTTACTCGCGAAACGCCTAGCGAAAAATGGCTAGCCTCCCTCAACGTAGAAGTGTATTTGGCTAAGGACATACAGGACTAGATGGTTCCAAAAACCAGTAACAAAAACATCTTAGTCCATTATCGTTCAGCACACCCACGCAGCATTAAGGGTCCATCATCAGCAACATGTTCAAAACTGCTAGAAAGGTTCCCTCGGGTCCATAGGAACAAACAGCTAGCCTGGAGCTAGCCAGTCGCATTGCGATATCAAATGGGTACGCACGTGTAGAAAAAGGATTTCGAGGCATTTATAGTAGGCGCACAGCACGTACAGAGGACAACGCGGCAAAATCCCTCTCTGCATACCCTTCATCGCGGATGACTTCAGCAGAGCGATAAGGGCATGTGTGCACCAATCCGGTCCTTAAGAATACGTTAGGGTTGCGTACATCCCTTCCCTCCAACCTTAAAAAGCAACTGATACAAAATCGCGCCTACGATGGCATTTGCACAACTCCTGATTGCGTGATATGCCCATACGGTAGACCAGGAGATTGCATGAAGGCGGGCGTAGTTTATTTGATCACATGTCAATTGTGGTGAAGAGTATGTAGGCGAAACTGGTTGAACTCTTTGCATCAAGGAGCATTTGGAAGGACTCGCAAAAGGTAGATCATCAACCCCCCCTAGGTGCTTACAGCAGGCTCTGTCATGAAAATACCACATTTGATACGATGGTCACCATGTTATCGCACGAGCCCCAAACTATAGCACGCAAGACACTTGAAACTTATGGATCTGCTCGCGAAATCAAAAAATGAATAGAAAAGAAGAATGCATTGCCATCACAAACGAACACACACTGGCACCCGACCCTTTGTGGATTTTGATCTACGAGTCGGGGTTGAGTCAGGCGCGGGGGAGTGATTATCATATCAGCAACTCATCAGTAGCATTGCAGCTTTGCTCGGTGGTCGCTTCCTCTCATCCGCAAGGCTGTAAGG